GTGGGGATGTTGACGAATGGGGGGGCTATGAATGTCATGAGGATATTTATGATGTTGAAGGTTGTGGTGCCGGGGGGGTTTCCGTTTGGGATTGAGGAGGTTAGGGGACTGCTGTCGGGGATGGTTGAGGGGGGAGTGGTGGTGGGGACGGGGGATGTGTTTGCTGTGAGGAGGGAATAAGTGATCGGCGGCTGTGCTGTGGTGAGGGGTGGGAAGGTAATTCCCAGCGTATGTATGGCGTATCATGGTTATGTGATATCTAAGAAGGGTCATGATTTTGAACAATTGAGATTTGACCTCGAAGGGATTTGAATGGATTGAGTAGCTCCAGAATGTTGATGAAAAGGAATGACAATCTTGCAACCATGTGATTAAACAACTGCTGAGATACTCTACTTAAATACTTCCACCAGCAGAGAGGGCTTTCTGATCCAGGAACAAAGACAGACTACCAGAGCAGACCAAGGGCGTACAGCGCTAATCCTCTCTAGATATGGAAGTCCCTTCCATTCATTCTAATGTATACTCCAGTCTAAATGAAAATGTCGGTTTCTGCTCATTAGGGTGTAACTCAGAAATGAAATGAGCGGCGGTGATGGAGAGCATTGGATGCCCGTAGCAGGAGTACCAATGTTGTAGTATGGTGATGAGCATCGATTTCGAGAGATGATGATGCCTTCTCATGCGTATATCAAAGGTCGAGTTCGAAGCATGCGGTAGAGGTGAAGAGCATTGATCGATGGTAAGGAATATCATCATTGTGACCTGATGAAGTGTATCAACTCCGTGACATGATCGTCTGAAGGCTTCTGGCTGTTTGTGTAGCAATCCTCAGGGAGGAAGAACGACTTATCGCACTGTTTGGACTATCCTCAAGTCGAGTAGAAAGCGCAAGTACAACACAGCAGGAATGTACCACGTGCTCCAATCGCATACCCGTTGCGCCAAAACATTTTCTCTGACAACACCTTTTAAAAAAAAAAAGACCCCTTCCATGACGTCGCGTGTCGCCCTCTACTCAATCAGGACTAGTTCAGGTCAGAACCCCCGATTGAGCACCTTCCAAATTTATGTTTGAGATTCTCGACTCCAATAAATAAAAAAGACATTGCTCATTAGAAGTGAAATGGCCACAAGTCTTCGAGTCTGAGACCTGGTAAGTTAGTTCGATCTCTTGAATCTGGAAATCATCAAACACTCCACCCGGTTATGCTAGTTCTATTTCTACGTGCTGGACGCGTGCTCAACTACTGTTAAATCCAACAAAATTGATAGTCTGACCTTTTACAGGACCGTGGTTAGCTTCTAAGGAGTTCAGTGCCGCGCAATCTTGTCTCCGTCAAATTTCAAAGACTAGCGCGCAGCGCTCCAACTATCATGGCTCCAGCAGCATCTCTGTTGGGAATTCCTACAGAGACCAGACTCCAAATTCTGGGTTACTTGCTGCCCAACAACGATCCAACCCCGAGCGTCGCATATAACGACTGGATGAATAAATGGAATGGTACTGATCGTCAAGTCTTTTTGCGTTCCGATAAGGCTTCGTGCTGGCCACAGGTACTCCAGGGAAATCGCCAAATTCGTGACTAAGGCTACGATATTCTCTACAATAAACAAGTATTCACAGTAGTCATTGACAATATGGGAGCTTGCGTTCTCAACACTAGAGACTGGGTAGAGGTGCCGCCGGGAAGCGAGACCCTATTCGATGCTATGATTGGACGATTTCGTTCGCTCGATATCGTTCTGAATGGAGACTTCTGCGAGTGGGACATTCCCCACTTCCTCATAGGACGCAGGGAAATCATGACCATGAAGATCAGGGTTTACTGGCTTGTCAATTGCATTCGAAGGGTCGGAACTATCAAACATATTGCAATCAAAGCCCGGCAAGGATTGATCTGGAATGAGAAGTCTGAAGAAGACAAAGACAGCAGTTTCCAATCACCAGAAGAGTTCTTGGTCTCTCTGCTAAAGCCTTTCAATCAGCTTCGCGGCCTGAAATCTACTTCGATTGAAATATGCTCTGGTATGCATCCCCCCTCATGTTCACTGCACAGAGTATTGACCGTTTCCCCTGCAGAGTCCGAATATGCACCTCTTTATGAAGACTACTACGAAGACTCAGAAGATGAGGAAGACCTGGCTCAAGAAAGATCTGACCTCGTGAAAACACTGGAAAAAGACCTGCAACCCACCTTCGATACCCTCGCGGAGGCTATGTGTAGTCAGAAACCAGTAACTAATCCCAATCCACCTATCAATATCCTCACTCTCTTGGAAAGCATCACCCTCGGTAACAGCCTAAGCCTCGACGTCCAAAAGAGGCCACCACATCGGCGCAGCCCGCGTCTCTCACGCCTCAACTATACGACAGAAACCGAGCACTTCCAGGACGCCATTGAAGAAGACCTTATTGACGAAGACATTTTATTCCCCTTCCACTTCTACGGGCTTACCTACGACGTACATGCAGCTGAGGATGCCAGACAGATACCACGTTCGTATACAGCTATCCTAGAAGCTGCTTTACTTGCCTGTGAAAACAAGGACACGGTTGCTTGTCGTAAAGAGAGTCGCGCAATCTTTTCAATCTGGACGGGGCTTCGCCGCCAATTCAATCATCAATGGAAGGATTCGCAACGATCAGGGTGGGAGTTCTCTGATGCGACAAACGAGGAAAAGAGAACGGTGCGTGAGGCGTGGGAAGCTATCGATTTGGCTTTTACGAAACTGCGTCTCATGCTGCGTGAAGAATCCGAAAAATTGGAACCAGAGAAGAATGCGCTACAACGTGAATTGGACTTGGATGCGGTGTTCAACCTCCAAGAGGCTCATCTCTGAGTGCTGACATAAGGAAGTGGTGGCCGCGTCACAATATCATCCATGATAAACCCCAGCATAAAAAGTAAATAATTTGTGAGTGCACAAAGACAAGTTAGATTTGAGAAAAGCTAGCGGTTTGTGTATAGTCTTTGGTCAATGGACCTCCAGACGACGCTATGCTTCGATGAAGTAGTTCGAGCGTGTAGTAATGCGTTGGAAGGATGTTCGAAAACTTTTGGCTTGTACATGTACTATTCTCGCTAGTGGCACGAGAAGGGGGAAAGAGCATCAACATAGTATTGCTCGCTAACAGAACTAATTTTTGTAACACTACAAATGCCATTTAACCGATTCAATCTCTTCAAGCAAGAAGAAGAATCCCACATTCATTTCTTTTACCTCATCCCACTCATTCCCAAGTCCCGTGCACGCCTCCTCTGACGTATCATCCCAGGGCCCTAAGGCTTAGGGATATGGATACTCTTACTAACCATCAAACACCCGTGCACGACAAAGATGCCTACAATAGGATGAAACTCCAAAGGAGTACCAGCCAAAGCCGTACCAAGAGGAACGTTGTTCAACACCCAATCATTGCTGACCCAGTAGGCCATGAGTGCAACGATACCAAGGGTAGTTGGGATAGGAGTACCTTCGAAGTATTTCGATTTACCGGTGGCGTCCTTGGGAAGTGCAGAGACAGTAACGTTGAAGCGTGCTAGACGGGTGAGACCGCACAGGACGAAGAATGTGAGGAGGAAGTGGTCTACTGGAGTGCGGAGGCCGATGGCGAAGGCGGCGGCGGCGGGTGCCATGCCGAAGGAGATCTTGAAGTTCATTAACAAAATGATCGTTGACGTGTCAAGAGAAAAACGTACCAGATCTGCAAGGGAATCAAGTTCCTGTCCCATAAGCGAAGACTTCTTCCTCCACCTAGCAACTTTGCCGTCCATAAAATCGAAGAAGAGTCCGAAGGGCATGAACGTGAGAGCGACCCAGAGATTACCATAGGCGGTTGGATCACCCAAGCAGTAGCGCAGAGAAGAGAAGATGGACATGATACCACAGAAGCCTTGCAAAATATCAGTTTTTCGACCCTTGTAAACATGGGAAAAAAATCAAAACATACCGTTCAATTCAGTGATCAGATCAGCCAAATGCAACGCGCGAATCATGGAGAAATGTCCCGAATCTGCCGCCAGAAGTCTGACCTGTTTATCCATAGCTAGATGCAATTGTAAGTACAGATGGCCAATCTTTCAGCGTAAACTTCGCAATGGCAGGAAACCTACAATCGTCCTTGGCACTCATGACCTGTTGATCCTTCTCAGTAGCACCAGTCGCGGTGCTTGTTCTTCTAGACATTTTCTGTTTCGTTATTGTTTAATATCCGTCGAACAATGTTGAGTTTTCGTTGTTGTTGCGGAAAACAAGAAGTGGCAACGAGAGGCTGAAAGTTAGGCGCGTCGGTCGTCGTTCCAACTTTCTCAAGAATGAGGTCACCGGTTTTTCTCTTCCACGTCACGTGAGAGGCTTCCTTTCCTGAGCTCACCAGGAATGAATTCGCGTAATTCGAAAGAGAAAAAAGCCCGCCGGGTAGTTACTATAATGATATACAGGGTCTTCGTTAATTCGCCGCGCAGGCGAGAGACCTCGCTTCCTCACCAAAATGGCCGACTTTGACCCCGTCTACCACCACCGCCTATGATCATTATTTGATAATATTTTAGGTATAGATAGCTTTACTATAGATTAGAACGCCCTAGCAGCCTACAGCTTAATAGAGCTAATCTAGATATTTAAAATTCGCGGTACAGTTTTACTCTTACTAACTAGATTAAAGAGGACTTAGAATTCGCCGGTTAACTAGGAATTCTAGACTCCTAGACTATACTTAGATCTAGAGATATATAGGTAAAGTGCATATATATTAAGGCTTTCCTAGATTAATCTTTAGGTATTTTTCTACCTAGTTATAGAATTTAGGATTATTTAGAGCCTATACGTGGGTAGTAGACCATTTTAAAAACAACAACTTTTAGTGGAAAACATTGGTTTTGGTCCGCTTCCGCTCCTGCGCGGTGAATTCGCTAAAACCCTGTGATATGTTCAGTAAGGCGATCCTGACTAACAAATGTCAAAAAGAAAAAAGTAAGGAAAAAAAGGAAAGAACACGACACAGACAAGATTCGAACTTGCGAGGCCGAAGCCATTAGATCTCAAGATAATTCAAGTCTAACCCATTAACCACTCTGCTGCGAGGATGTTAGTAACTGTTGGTTGCAGATGGATTTAAAAGCTGTAACTTACGCACTGTGCCAATCAGCGTTCTGAGGGACAAAATGTGCTTGTTTGCACTTATATAATATTCGCAAAAACATGTGCTAGCGGGGTAATCTCACGTCGTAGTTTCAGAAGTGTGCTAGATGCTACGCCTATCGATATCACAGCCTCGCCTCGATACTGTATTATCTTGCTTCGGCAGCTTTACTCTGCGACATGCATTCCTATCGGAAGGTGCACCATCGCATTTGTTTTTGTTTCACCAGTATGCAGACGATTCGGATCATATATTAATCAAATTACAGTAGTGGGCATATAAGGCCTTAGTTTAGAACCACGGAATGGACGAACGGGCGGAAAATATTATATAATCGTGAGAATTCTTGATTTCGGCAGTCCCGATGTCAAAGGTGCTACCGCATTACTCATGCCATTGGATGTCCTTATTCCAGTTTATGCATTTCCCTTAGCCATTCGCGCCAGAAGATGCTCAAACTTGCAAACGCTATCAAAAATACCACCGTTGCCATCTTGAGTTCTTACTTTGGTCGATAGGCACAAAGGACTCATAACCGCGCAATGCACCGAAAGCCAGTTTCCACAATGCTCCATAAATCCAGCCTACATCCCTCTACCAAGAAAGAGTAACAGCAGGAGAGTATGGACTCCCCCTTGGATGAGCAAGCTGCGTATCACAGGACTAGCCACTGTTCTGTGATCCTCCGAGCTCCCTCAGCATCTCCCCCTACCACTAGTATTGTTTGGATTGCATACGCGGCTTCCGCCGCAAAGTCCTCCTTGATGCCACCATATACATCACCATCGTTGAGCTTCTCGGCTTGCACCCTCTCGCTCAGTTGTAGTGCACGCTCATATGCCGGCAACGCAAGATGAAGTAGCCCCAGCGAGTGCCACATCATACCGACGTTGAACTCTGCTTCTTGCATGTGAAGCGCAACATTACCCTTCATGCGAATATCGTAGTATTGAAACAAGAACGAAAGCCCTTGTTGGATCTGGTATTGTCGATTTTCGGACTGCCGCTTGTAGCCCATCTGCACGTACGAGATTGCAATGCAAAGATTGATTATTGGATCCTCTGGTGCGATCACATATGCTCGAAAATAGTAAGTCAACGCTGAGCTGTAAGTGGCCGCCACAAACATCATATGTCCATACAGACAGAGGACTGCGGGATCGTGCTCGGTGAGTCCATGGGGATTGCCATTCTTGGTTGGCTCAGTAGTCTTGACTCGATCCCCATCTGTGAAAAGGAACGTGGCGCGGTGTTCTGGCGGCAACAGGCCGAAATCCATAATCTTGATCTGCCGCAGCATAAACTTCTGCTCTGGACCGGAGTTGTAATATGATGTGTCTGTTCGACAGTACCGACTGACTGCAGTGAACAGCCTGTAGCCGTCCGACACAAAAGGAAAGTTCTTGAGAAACCATCGAGCTTCCTCGACAAGTCTCTGCTCGTCTTTTAGAATAAGCGCGCAGCCTAGGAAATTGTTAGATGACTGAGGTAACATGTATGTAGGAAGGGTCCGCCCATACTTAACGCCACGTTTCTTACGATCTGTGTGCGAGCAGGTTCGTGCGCAAAGATGTTGGCGCTCTGAGTCACGTTGAGGACCTCCCAACATCCCTCACCAATCTCGTTCTTCGCATAGTGTAAAGCGAGACGCATTAGCAAATCAAGCCATTCATCAAAAGAGATATTCCGATAATAGTTAGGGACATCATCGTCCTTCTCTTCTGGCTCTACCAGATTCTCGCCATCCGGAAGTGTTACCACACGTTTCCATTTATTGAATCCTGTGAACTTGGTCGACTTGTCTCGTGGAAAGAACAGAGGCTGGCTCCGAAAGTCCTCGAAGAGCTCGTTGGCGTATCCAAGCCATTCGGCTGCAACGTCGGGATCGCCCGCATCAACAGCAGCTTGGAGCCCAAGAGCATCCTCGTATCGAGACTTGATAATCGTGTCTCGTACACGACGTTCCCTGTCTTTCTGCTGTTTCTTATTCCACTTCGAACTCAGTGGCCCGACACTTCTTCGCTCTGACCCACGTGCAGAAGGTGAGGCGGAAGTGGAAACACTTGAACCACTAGTAGATGGACGCAGGGTACCCTCCTTCTCCAAGGGCAGCCCTGCCTTTCGAATCATATCGGCCTTGCCCATTCTTCGAAGTTGATTGATTAAATGCCACATTTCGGCGGCTTTACCTTGAGCCTGATAGAGTTTGGCCAGCCCAATGTAGAAATGTGCATCGCGAACGGTGTTCTTGAGCGACTGAATGCTCAGTCGCACATCCGAGTCTCGCCCCAGAGCCTGATAACAAATAGCGATATCAAAACAGAACCTAGAGTCGACCTCATTCGGCAGTGTGCGAAGAGCTTCATAGTATTGTAGAGCTTGCTGGTAGAGTTCTGATTCTCTTAGAGCATCACCTATTTCTCGAAAAATCTCGGGATATTCTCGCACGTATGCATCATCTGAGTCGTCTTCAGGCTCTAGGCAGTCGAAGTGTTTCTGTTGAAACATTAGCAATACAATTGGCACCACGATATGGCAAAGTATAGTGACCTACAAGTGCTTCCTGATGATGCTCAGGGCCGATACCCAGTCGGATCAAGCCCAATTTTGCACGCAATTCAACCATCAAGCCAGCACCGTAAGCTGAAGTATCGAATTCGCCTTGGACAAATTCAGAAATTTCCAGTCTTCGCGGTTCATCTTCTATGTCCCACTCGCGATCGTCGCTTTGGGCATCCCAGAAAGTCTCATGCCCGCGACCAAGTAGCCAGCGTGCAGCGGTCTTCAATCGAATCAATGCTTCCTCGTAACGCTCGACCTGTATAAGAAGGTCAACGTAGAAGTCGAGAAGCTGCCAATTCAGACTGGTAACCTCCAGTCGATCGTTCTTGAGGCAATGATCAACAAAGTTCTCGTACATTGGTAACGCCGCTGCAGGCTCCTCTAGAGAGAAGCAAAACTCTGCAAGGTGAGTAAGAAGATCCGTATTGTATGGCTCGAGTTTGAGAAGGTGCAAGCACTCATTCTTTGCTCTGGTAGTCTGGCCTCCTTTGATATAGTTATACATTCTCCCAAGACGAGCTTTATTGTCACCTCTATCGATATCAAGAAGCATGCTGTAACACTCCTGTAACCTCTGTCGGGTCTCCTTGTTGTTGGGCCCTTTCTCATTAAGTGTGTTAATGACATACCACCAAGCTGTGGGCTCACGAGTGGAGTGAACACCAACGCAGAGCACGCTGAGCGCGTCAGTAAGCCGGTTCTTCTTCATCAGAATCTCGGATATAATTCCATGCATTGGAAAGTGCTCGGGGTTGAGCTTAATGGCTTCCAACGCGTGATTGTATGCAGCTTCATATTTTCCTTCGGCGTATGCTTTGGTAACCAAATTGTTCAGACGCCTAAATTCGGGAGTCAGTTCGGCAGCTGCTCGTGGCTTGTACTTCCTTGGTGCCATTGGCGGTGGTTCAAATGGTTTTCGTTTGCGTCCACGTATGTTTGCAGCCCCACGGCCGCGACCGCGACCACGACCGCGTCCTTGACCTCGTCCTCTGGCATTGGAACCCTTTTGAGAATTGGAAGTTACTTGATGGCCCGAGTCTGAGAGAATGGCGGCTTCAGTAGGTAAGAATTCCGGATCCAAATCAATATCGTCAGGATCAAGTGCTCCCAAGTCACGTAAACTGATGCCACCTAACATCTCCGAGTCCTCTTGATCGTTCCCGGCGTCGTCGTCTTCGCTATCTTCGTCATCTTCATCATCCTCATCTTCATCACTGGCAGGGCCCTGCTCATAAGCTATGCTGGGACGTGACACGAGACTTGTTGGATCGGGATACCTTCCACCACGTGGATCCCCATAACTGTAAGCCGATCGTAGAGCAGTGTCAGTACTACTGAAGAAAGGAAATGAGGTTGAATTATTTTGCGCAAAGTCTTCCTCGTCACTAGCGTCTTCATCATCATAATCTTCGGAGGCGTTGCTATAGGAAGATAATCGTCTTTCATTCAACGCTGGACCCCTTTGATGGGGACTACCTCGCACGCGCGGGGACGATCCTTCTTGCGCTCCGTAGTTGATGAAATCGTGCTCCATTTCTAGAATTTGATGGCAGTGGAGCTTTTGCTATCCTAGAAATAGAAGCATCGCAGCCGCTGATCTTGGCAAAAGCAAGGCACTGATGATGAGAGCTGAAAACAAAGCTGTTTGATATCTCTAGTTTCACGTTGCAAATTGTGGTCAAGATGGGAATTTGAGGTTACGGGTACTTGTACTCAATATTAACCATTGATGTCCAATCAGGTTTAACGCTAGGGTCAGAGTCATGTGACCATTAACCAATCACCTCACTCCAATTTAACCCTATTTCGGGCATTTGATTCTTCTGCTTAAATCCTTCGAGATGTTGTCTAAAAGTATCCCTGATGTTCGAAACAAATGGGTAATATTCGAAGGTGAAAGAGTTTACTTGATTAAATATAGGGAGTGTAGTACGACACTATCTTCACAAAGGGTTGCAATTAGAGATCGCGGACTCCCAACCATTACTAGTACAAAACGCCCTCTGGTATCTTAGACTAGATTGAGTGTTTCCAAAGCGCCTTGCCATGCATGATAAAGAAACATTATGATTCCAAAATTGGTGTTAATCCTACACTTCTTCATTTTCCGGGATTCCTACAAGCTCATAAGTACCAGCACCATCTCTTCCACTGCCACGTCCGCGTCCACGACTATGGCCTGACTCCTCCGCAGTCCCTTCTTCAGATGCACCAGCTGTGTTTGCCGAAGTTGTTGATCTGCCGTGGCCTCCAAAGCTGATCGGGCGAAGCTCGCGCCATTGACACGCCCACATGCCCAGAAATGCCAGAAGCGCCGTACTCGCTGTTTGGAGTGCCCACCAAAACCAAGTCGACGGTATGGAATGAGTATAAAGTGACGTGA